CGGGAATCCGAAGGAGTCGGGCTGAGCTCTGACCTCGGCTCGGCCAAGGCTGGATGTTTTCCACGCTTGGAATTTGTCTTTTGTCAACCTACGGAGGGGAAAAAACGCTTTAAATCTCTGCAAGCTCATGGTTTCCACCTACATTTTGGGGGGTGGGGGGGTGTCCCTACCGGTATGGGGGATGCAGAGCCGCGTCAGCGTTGAGAAGAAGAAGAAGGAATTGCCATGTTCGGGTCTTCCCGCAGGACGGGAAGATCCCGACGCTTCATCTCAGGTGTTTTTCCTCCAACAGCGATGTGATTATCCCTAAGGTTTGGCTGTTAATCCGGTTCGTTGCCCCCCCCCCCCGGATTTAAAGCCCCTCCCTTTGAAAACTGGAAGATCTGTGAGACGGTTCAGATTAATTCGTTCTGGGGGGGGTGATGCGAGGGGGGAAAACGAGCTTTGCCGCTCAGCTCGTGCCTGTCCTGGCTGTAACCTCTTTAGATTTCCTTCCCAACCTTCTTGTGCGGCGGTGAAAACTCTCACCTCTCCCTCTTTCCTTCCCAGTGATCAACAAATACAAGCGCCGGCGGTTCCAGAAAACCAAGAACCTCCTGACGGGCGAGACGGAGGCAGACCCTGAAATGATAAAAGTAACCGGCTCTTTTTTTTTTTTGTGTCTTTTGTTTTTGGGGGGGGGTTTTTTTGGGGGGGTTTTTCTTTTTTTTTTTTTTTTGCACCCCTTTATCCAAACTCCGAAATATTCACGTGCTTTCCCGCGTGAGGGGAAAAGCAAAGGTGTCGGGAAGCGCCGCAGGGGATTTTCCCCCTCTTGCTCTGGGGATGGGGAAGAGGATGATGATTTCTTTGCGGTGTTTTGGGGGACGTGGGGGGGGTTGGCTCAGCCTGCGCCCCCCCACCGGCTCTGCTGCCTTGTTTAAGCCGGAGGGACGCTGGTGACGGAGACGGTGGTGTTTTTTCCTTGCAGAGGGCAGAAGACTACGGTCCCGTGGAGGTCATCTCGCACTGGCACCCCAATTTGACCATCAACATGGTGGATGACCACACGCCCTGGGTGAAGGGCAGCGTGCCGCCTCCCCTGGACCAGTGTAAGGACGTTTTGGGGTTCCCCTGTTCCCCAGGACGGCTTTCCGGGGCCGGCCCCTCTCCTCGGAGGACCAGTTTAGGCTCTCGTTACAGAACGGAGGATTGTTTCTCCGTCGTCGGCGTCACCCCCCCCACCTCTCTGACAGACTCTGGGTCTCTCCCTGGTGGCTGCTGAGGAGGATGACGGTGACGATGGCTCTCGCCGCTCCGTCACCTTCTCAGCCCTCCCCTCTGCTCTTTTCCCCCCCCCGGCCTCCAGATGTGAAGTTTGACGCCATCAGCGGCGACTACTACCCCATCCTCTACTTCAACGACTACTGGAACCTGCAGAAGGACTATTTCCCCATCAACGAGACCCTGCAGCGCCTGCCCTTCCGCCTCTCCTTCTGCCCGCTCTCCCTGTGGCGCTGGCAGCTCTACGCCGCCCAGAGCACCAAATCCCCCTGGAATTTCCTGGGAGAGGACCTCTACGAGCAGTCGGACGAGGAGCAGGACTCGGTGAAGGTGAGAGCTGCTCTCCCGCTTGCCCCTCCGTAAATCAGGACATCTCTTTTGGAACAGTTTGGAGGCCATAACCATAGTGAGATATTAAACCTTTCATCCTCCTCGGTGCTCCGGTGCCCGGTGTCATCCTCCTGGATCCTCCCACTTTGCCATGGCGTGCCGGGGATGTCGGATGGTGGGATGGAGTCTCCAAGAGGCGTTTTATTTTTATTTTTATTTTTTTTTTTGACGTCTGTTCCAGGTCGCTCTCCTGGAGACGAACCCCTACCTGCTGGCGCTGACCATCGTCGTCTCCATCGTGCACAGCATCTTCGAGTTCTTGGCCTTCAAAAACGGTGAGTGCTGCGGTGGCTCCGCGGAGAGGGGGAAGGAAGCCGCGGCGGTGCCGTGACCCAAAACCCTCTCCCCGCTCCTGCCTCCGCCTTCTCCTTGTCCCCGCGGCGGCGGCAGAGCCGTCGTTCTCGTGCTGCGGCACGGTCTTGGCCGGCTGAAAGCCACACGTTGCGACGTCTTCAGCGGCCGTAGCCAAACCCAACCGCATCCTGTTTTCGTGGCCGCTGCGGCGCGCGGCGAGGTGGCCGCCACTCCTCCGTGCCGTGGGGCGCCGACTTGAGGGCAGAAAGCCGGAAACTTGTGGTTTTCTGGGTCCCTGCGCTGATGCCAGACGGCGCTTTGCGGTGTCTGCTCGGCTCCGGCGATCGCACCGCCCGCTCCTCTCCCTCCTTCCGCCGCGGCACGTGCCGCGGTAACTCTCCGGAGCCTCCGGCACCGGGAAGGGTTCCCCTTCCCCTCCGGCAGGGTGATGGTTTGGGCTGTTTCCCACCAGATATCCAGTTCTGGAACAGCCGGCAATCTCTGGAGGGGCTCTCCGTCCGCTCCGTCTTCTTTGGCGTCTTCCAGTCCCTCGTCGTCCTCCTCTACATCTTGGACAACGAAACCAACTTCGTGGTGCAAGTCAGCGTCTTCATCGGGCTCCTCATCGACCTCTGGAAGATCACAAAGGTCATGGATGTCCGGGTAAGCGGCGGCGCGGGCGCCGGGGAGGGCTGAGGGTGCCGCCGGTTCTTCACGGTGACGCCTTTCCCTTCTCCGTTGGCAGCTGGACCGCGAGAACAAGGTGGCAGGAGTCTTTCCCCGCGTAACCTTCAAAGACAAATCGACTTATATCGAGTCTTCCACGAAGGTGTACGACGACGTGAGTCGGGGATGGAGGAGGGGGGGAGGAAACGAGCGCCGGGGACGGCGGACGCCGCTGAACCCGGCACCGGTTTGGTGCGACACCTCATCACGCCTCCCCTCGTCTCGTTGTCCCGCTTTGAGGACTCCTCCGGGAGTCGACGGGGGCTGCCGACGCCGCGCGGCTCCTCCGTGGTCCGCGATTTTTTGGAGCCGGGAAAGGGCCGTGCCCGGGATTCCGGCCCGTTCCCCCGGTTGATGTTTGGTGTCCCTCTTTTCCCCAGATGGCTTTTCGGTACCTCTCGTGGATTCTCTTCCCTTTGTTGGGCTGTTACGCCGTGTACAGCCTGCTCTACCTGGAGCACAAGGGTTGGTACTCCTGGGTGCTGAGCATGCTCTACGGCTTCCTCCTCACCTTCTGTG